TATTCCCAAACGGCCCCCGTGCTGGATGTTCAAAAATTTTTATTGATCTATAGGCCTTGGTCGCCTTAATAAACATTTTATAAATATGTAAGATTATATTAATATAAACGTACATATTCTTAAAAATAAATATTTGTCTATATTAGGTGTATTTAATAAGTTACATTTGTACAATATTTGTATTGTTCATTATTATTATTGTGCCTACAACAGTGACATAAGTGATAATCCTCTAAAACCAAATTTGTTTATTATTATTATTTATTATTTATTATTATTATTATTTTTTATTATTATTATTATTATTATTATTATTATTATTATTATTATTTAGGCTCAGGTACTCCTAAGTACAATTGCCATACATACTGTAAATTACCTAAAATAACCCAAAAATTTTTAGTATCAGTTGTGGAGAGTGGAGTTAGAGTACACCTGTGGATTCCATCTCACATTGATCTTCAGATGTATGATAGAGAAAGTAGATTACAATCTTGGGCTATCAGTTTGAGAACGGTAATACGAAAATTATTATTATTATTAAAATCAAAAAAGAAGCGCTAAGCCACAAGGACTATACAGCGCTGCAGGTAATACGAAAAGAACTTCAGGTAAACCCCAATGACTTGAGACTGATTGAGGGAGATTGATAGTAGTCAGTCCACCTGTCACAAGGACCCCAGTGGAAATCAATCACTTTGACTTTGGGTTATCCTAGGTAATTCATACTATGTATCATAATTGTACTTATGTGTACATGTGCGTGTGCCTAAATAAACTTATTTACATTACTTTATCATGCAGAAGCCACATGTCTATGATGCAAAAACTGTTCAGGCAACCTGGAGTTTACCTGGAGAGAGTTCCGGGGGTCAACGCCCCCGCGGCCCGGTCTGTGACCAGGCCTCCTGGTGGATCAGAGCCTGATCAACCAGGCTGTTACTGCTGCTGCACGCAAACCAACGTACGAGCCACAGCCCGGCTGGTCAGGCACCGACTTTAGGTGCTTGTCCAGTGCCAGCTTGAAGACTGCCAGGGGTCTGTTGGTAATCCCCTTATGTATGCTGGGAGGCAGTTGAACAGTCTCGGGCCCTGACACTTATTGTATGGTCTCTTAACGTGCTAGTGACACCCTGCTTTTCATTGGGGGGATGTTGCATCGTCTGCCAAGTCTTTTGCTTTCGTAGTGAGTGATTTTCGTGTGCAAGTTCGGTACTAGTCCCTCTAGGATTTTCCAGGTGTATATAATCATGTATCTCTCCCGCCTGCGTTCCAGGGAATACAGGTTCAGGAACCTCAAGCGCTCCCAGTAATTGAGGTGTTTTATCTCCGTTATGCGCGCCGTGAGGGTTCTCTGTACATTTTCTAGGTCAGCAATTTCACCTGCCTTGAAAGGTGCTGTTAATTGTGCAGCAATATTCCAGCCTAGATAGAACAAGTGACCCGAAGAGTGTCATCATGGGCTTGGCATCCCTAGTTTTGAAGGTTCTCATTATCCATCCTGTCATTTTTCTAGCAGATGCGATTGATACAATGTTATGGTCCTTGAAGGTGAGATCTTATTGTAGCGCTCTTAAGTGGTGATATCCAAAGTAAGTCCAAGCTGCATTAACAAATGCAAGGAATAGAAAGGAAGAACTTGGGCAACAGGAATGGGAACAGTTTGTTAGTGGATTAAATAGGTCCACCCCTTTGAGTTTGGCTTGGAAAGGTATAAATAAAATAACCAGGAAAAAGACTGGCAATGTTGCTCATCCCTTTCCTCTTGAAAAAGCAAATGACCTCATAAATGACTGGTCCAAAACATCCAGGCATGAAAACCTTCCATCTCATATTAGAAAAAATTTAGAGAGTACTTCTGAAGAAATGTTGAAACTGATTAATTTTATGAGCCAAATATTGATGAGAGTGATTGCCTCTTTACCGAGTATGAATTAGATAATGCATTAACCAAAGGTCGATCAACTGCTCCTGGAGAGGATGGTATGACCTATGATATTCTCAGAACTCTAAGGCACGTGCCTGATAACCCTTTGTTGGCACTGTATAATCTCAGTTACATTGAGGGCGTTCTTCCTACTTCCTGGACCAATAGTCTCATTGTGCCTATCCCTAAGCCCCAACAGCCTGATACATTTAGGCCGATCTCCTTAACTAGTTGTCTTTGTAAAACTTTTGAAAGAATGATGCTTAACAGACTGTACTACAGAATCAGACACCAACTTTCCCCCTACCTCTCTGGGTTCATGAAAGGTAAAAGTGTGCAGAACTGTATTTCCACCTTTCTCACTGCACACACCTCTACTAGTTTTACCACTTTTCTTGATCTAAAATCTGCATTTGATATTGCGAACAGAACCGTTATACTACATGAACTAGCCAAAATGAATATTGGTGGTAGCTTACTCTGCTGGATAATAGGATACCTGTCAAATAGAGTATCCTCTGTCCTTTACCAAGGCTTCAGAAGTGATTCTAAAGAAATGTCTTTGGGTGGCCCGGTGGCCTGGTGGCTAAAGCCCCCGCTTCACACACGGAGGGCCCGGGTTCGATTCCCGGCGGGTGGAAACATTTCGACACGTTTCCTTACACCTATTGTCCTGTTCACCTAGCAGCAAATAGGTACCTGGGTGTTAGTCGACTGGTGTGGGTCGCATCCTGGGGGACAAGATTAAGGACCCCAATGGAAATAAGTTAGACAGTCCTCGATGACGCACTGACTTTCTTGGGTTATCCTGGGTGGCTAACCCTCCGGGGTTAAAAATCCGAAAGAAATCTTATCTTATCTTATTTTATCTTATCTTACACCGCAGGGAGGAGTTCTTAGTCCCATGCTATTTAATATTCTGATTAATGCTCTCCTAAATGCTCTACCTGCCTCACCTAAACATATAGCTATAAGCTATGCTGATGATGTCATGATCCATCCAACAGGGCATAAGAAGATGAATACCATTCTTAATGAAGTTCAAGCAATTTGTAATCGACTAGGCCTCATAATATCTTCCTCTAAAACAAAGATATTAACAAGCAAACGACATCCCCCACCCACCTATTTGCAGGGTGAAATCATTAGCTACGTTAAAACTTACAGATATCTTGGTGTAGATGTACCCTTTAACAAATCCACTATACAACAACTAAACAAGAAATGCAAAGCTAGGCTAAATGCTCTTAAAGCTGTTGCTGGCTACAACACCAACTATGGTGCTAATGTGAGAATCGTGAGAATGATGTACATAGCCTATGTTAGGTCCTTAATTGATTATGCTGCTCCCATGTTGATATTAGCTAGAGAAAGTTCTCTCCGACCCTTGGAGTTAATGCAAAATGAAGCTCTCAGGATTATTCTTGGCTGTCCCAGATCTACAAAAGTTCATAACATGAGGAAGGAGCTTGGTATTTCTAGTATCAGTGATAGGATTGTTGAGATTAACACTGTACTCGGTATTAGAATGTTGAGAAACGAACCAGACACTGTCACAGTGAATCTTACCAAGTGTCTAGAGGTAAATACACACAGATCTAAATGGATTGTGAAAACGTGCAATTGCATTAAGTTTTATAACCTGCATGAACTGTATCACTGTTTACCTGGAGAGAGTTCCGGGGGTCAACGCCCCCGCGGCCCGGTCTGTGACCAGGCCTCCTGGTGGATCAGAGCCTGATCAACCAGGCTGTTGCTGCTGGCTGCACGCAAACCAACGTACGAGCCACAGCCCGGCTGATCCGGAACTGACTTTAGGTGCTTGTCCAGTGCCAGCTTGAAGACTGCCAGGGGTCTGTTGGTAATCCCCCTTATGTGTGCTGGGAGGCAGTTGAACAGTCTCGGGCCCCTAACACTTATTGTATGGTCTCTTAACGTGCTAGTGACACCCCTGCTTTTCATTGGGGGGATGGTGCATCGTCTGCCAAGTCTTTTGCTTTCGTAGTGAGTGATTTTCGTGTGCAAGTTCGGTACTAGTCCCTCTAGGATTTTCCAGGTGTATATAATCATGTATCTCCCTCCTGCGTTCCAGGGAATACAGGTTTAGGAACCTCAAGCGCTCCCAATAATTGAGATGTTTTATCTCCGTTATGCGCGCCGTGAAAGTTCTCTGTACATTTTCTAGGTCGGCAATTTCACCTGCCTTGAAAGGTGCTGTTAATGTGCAGCAATATTCCAGCCTAGATAGAACAAGTGACCTGAAGAGTGTCATCATGGGCTTGGCCTCCCTGTAGGCAACAAGAGCATTTCACCCCTCCATGGAAGATGTGTTCATTTAATATCACATACCTACAAGTCCCTCCCAAGAAGCTCATTGCTAGTAATCCCTTCCTTAAATCTCTTGTTAGAGCAACTGCTCAAGAAGAAATTTCTCACCTAGCTGGTAGTAATAAGTTATCACAAGTTATATACACTGATGGATCTAAACAGGAGTCTTCTGGCAGGCCTGCATCTGCTCTTGTTGTCACCTCCCTAGTTAAGAACGATAATAAATTTGTTGAGTTAGGCATAAGAATTAACAACTGGGCGTCTACACTGCAAACTGAATTGTTTGCAATCCTAATGGCGCTAAAGCTAACCTATGACACTGAGCTTGACTCTATCATCATTACTGATTCTATGTCATCATTGAAGGCTCTCGACTCATATAATGACTCCAACAACATGCTCATTGGAGAAGCCAGGTATAGATACTCAAAAATTAGGGACAAAGGAATTAATGTACAATTGCTATGGATCCCATCACACATTGGATTACTCCTTCATGATAAAGTTGATATGTTAGCCAAGAAGAGTACCCAGAAGGAGAATGTAGAATATAACTTTGGTATAACTGTGTCTAGCATTAGGAATAATATTAGGAGAGAAGTAAATAATGAAAATGATTGTTATAGGAATGCAGTTAGAAGCCTGAGTAGATCTATAACCCACTATGATAACATGAACGTAGATAAGTATGTTTATGGAGCAACTTGCAATGTGAACAGACTGACTGATGTTGTAGTGGCCAGGCTTAGGCTTGGTTACAAGTACTTCTGGCAGTTTGGGAGACACACAGATGATGATCAAACTAAATGTAAATTATGTGATCAGGCATATGGTCACTGTCTTGAACACTATGTGATTAATTGTCCACTTGTTGAAGAATACAGAGACAGACAGTAAAATAACCTATGTGACATGTCAAGATATCTTATTAATGAAAATAAGATACCAGATATACTAAGCAAATTTCCAAAATTTGCTTGTAACAGATAAGTGAACTATAGATATGTAGATATAAATCCATATGTATTCCTGTTAACCCTTTGGGGCCTAGTTCCTAGGCCTTTTGTGTATCCGTATGCTCTCGCGCTACCGTCCACAGGATGGATATGGGGTGCACAATAAACTGGCCACTTCGGTGGCAAAATCTAAAATCTAATCACAAACAGTGTCCAGAATATCTTGCTGTCAATTTTGTCAAGGTTGGGAACCAAAGCAATCATAGTACTAGGGGGAGAGAGCACAACTTTGTAGTACCCACAGTCATTGGCCAGGCTTCAAACACCTTTTATTGTACAGCAATAAAGGAATGGAACACTGCCTGCACATGTCAAAGCCAGTCATAACATGAACCAGTTCAAGAAGAGTGCCAAAAGGTGTTTGATGAATGTAGCTACAGAAAGGGAGGGGAATGATTTTCTATTTTTTAGCTAACATACGTGTAAATTTTACCTTATTCCTTGTAATGACCCTCGTATTGTAGATAGTCTTAATGACCCTCGTGTAGTAGATAGTCTTTTTATTATGATAATAAGATGTTATCTTCATTGTAGAATAATAAGAAAATATTATAACATTTATAATAATAAGGTAAAAGGACCCCAATGGAAATAAGTCACTGTGTCTGACTTTTTTGGGCTATCCTAGGTTCTCTACACATATACTGCTGTGTATGATAATTCTATGTAACTGTATTTGTGTATACCTGAATGAACTTACACAAACTCCTCGGAAATAGAGCTTAATAAGGCGTAAGCTTTGGTGACCCTTAATAATCTCTAAGTACAACAATAATAAGAGTCGTTAAACTTACTACTTTATTTATTTGCTACAAGTACATGTACAAGGTATACAGGCCTAGCTGACATCAATGACATACTACTATATAGGAAGCCTTAACAACAATGGGGATTTCTGCGCCAGCCTTCGTCGGTTGTGGACGTCTCTCTCTCGCCTGTGTATCAGTGACAAATTTCCACCGTTCTCTCTGGGACGCTTGTCCTCGTCTATTGCCCGCCGGGCACTCTACAGGAGGGGCACCTGTACACTGGCTTACTGTAGCCAGCTCCATCTTTTTCCGCTCTGCGGAAAATTCTTTAACGGTCTTTGGTGGGAAGCCGGTTACTGAACTCAGGTGGTAGTGCAGGCGTCCCTTTCTGTTGGGGCTTAGCAAGGGCGTCCCTTTCTGTTGGGGCTTAGCAAGGGCGTCCCTTTCTGTTGGGGCTTAGCAAGGGCGTCCGCCGGATCTAATTGGAAACTTCAAGTTTCTATCTCAAAGGAACTTTTGTTCCTTTTCTCTCATCGCCCAGCCTTGAGCAACAAATTTTCCTCGTACCATCGAGAAACCGGGCTCGATACGGCTTGTGCTGTCAGTGGCCCTGATAAACCCAACAAAGAAAGAAAGAAGAAAGAAAAAGAAAGAAAAGAGGTACTGGGACTTTTAAACCGGTTGAGGGAAAGTAGCATAACAATAAAGTACATTATAAATATGTGTGTGTTATTGGCGAACTTGCAAGTAGTTACACATGTTATTGCACCAGAGGTACCCATGTGACCCACATATTGTGAACTTTGGTATTAATGACCAGGTGATGACATACGGAAGTCGAGTTATTCCATTACTTGGTACAGTTGTTGCTTGCAGCTTAGTATGTAAGTACCTCTTCTTGTTTACATTAACATTTATGTCCATAAATATGACTTCTCACTCTGGAGGTACATAATGCCAGAATAATGTAGGAGTAAGAGAAGATGATATTGTGTAGGTCAGTTCCAGGAGCAGCATATGGACTCCATCCTGCCTCCTTATATCCTCAAATATTAAATTCACAAGAATAATTGAGCTATGTTACTGTACAAGACCAAGTCTGGACAAATATAATAGTGAAAATAAATGGTATGGCTACACTGAGAAATGGAAGACATATGTACAGTTCAGGCTTTTTATCGAAGGAAACGTTTCGCCACAAGTAGCATAACGTTTTCTTCAATAAATGTTCCGAACTTTCTAAGGTCTTCTGCCACAAACTTTTAATAGTCCCCAAAAAGTTTTAAAAATGTTATTTACTGATGGAATACACCACTACCCTACCAATGCCCCCCAAAAAAAGAACTTCCTTGAACCCAGTGAGGGGGGGGTTTTTGACCCTAGGAATTAAACCCTTTACTTCCCTTCTTTGGGGATAAAACCCTGAATGGGGCCTGGGGCCCTGGAGGAATTTCCTGCTTACAGGGAGTGTCCCATGGTTAAATTCCCGGGAAAGGGGTGGAAATATTGGGCATTTCCTTACACCTGTCCTGTTCACCTAGCTGGCATCCTGGGGGACAAGATTGAGGATCTCAATGGAAATAAAACAAATAGTCCCTCGATGATTCACTGCCTTTCTTGGGTTATCCTGGGTGGCTAACCCTCTGTGGTTAAAAATCCTAACAAAATCTTATCCCTGGCCACTCGCAGGTTTAGCGTTCCTCCATTAATGTAATAATAATGTCCAACCTTTGTAATTGCTAAAACAAGACAGGGTGAGCATTTAAACTCCAAAATGTTGCATCAATAAAAACCTTCATTAGCAGCATAAGATTCACCAACTGGAACACAATGGAAATAAAAGGATTTTTTTGGGTTTAGTTAAAATTTCAAAATGTACTTTTTTGTGCCCCTAAAAAAAGTGTCAACACTTGGGATCTGGGGGTTTATCCCCCCATGGGTGAAAAAGTTTTTCCATATTTTTTTAAAAAATATCAACCCTGCCCGTTTTGGGTTCAGGCCTAAAAAAAATACTAATGAGTTTATACACAGCTAGAAATATATAAACCCGCAAAGAGAAAAAAGATTTCCCACTGGGGGTCTTCATTGATTACGTAAAGCTTTTGATACAGTTGACCCTGATTTCTCCACAAAAAAAATTGTCACCTAGGTATAAAGGGCCTCCCCAACTCCTCAATCATACTTCAGCAACAGAACCAATATGTGTCACAAAAGGGGCAAACTCCTGCGAAAACCCAATTCAGTTGGTGCCCCCACAGGGAAGGTTTTGGGCCCTTTTCTCTTTCTCCTATCATAAAATGACCTTCCAAATGTTTTGCAATTACTAAAACCCCCAAAATTTTTGCAGTTGGACTACTTTTTCCCAAAAAGGCCCCAAGGTAGCTCCAATCGGTTAAAAAAAGTTTTACAAAAAATTTTACCGGTGGGAAAAAACAAATTCCTAAATTGACCCTCTTTTCATTTTTGGTAAGGCACAATTTTTTTTAACTTGATAAACGGATATTTTTTGAGGGGAAAATTTTGGCCCAGATTTGATAAATTTATAAATTAAAAAATTTCTAAAAAAAATTTTTCCCCGATGTAGGATTTGAAGTAGGGTTATGTTCCAAGAGGGAAAATTTTTTTTAACCCCCCCTTTCCCATGGAATTTGTGCTGGGGAAAAAATTTAAATAGTCCACTAATATCCAAAAGGCTGCGTTGAATGTTAAAAAATTCTCACTCGGCAGCACACTCCACCTATTCAATCACTAAACCTATCACCAAAAAAATCCCCTATTTTTTATGCCCCTTTACTACTAAACACTTAACTCTGTTTTTACCCTCCCCTAAAAAAAATCTCCTTTCCCCAAACCCAACAAAAACCATGACCCTAACAAAGGAACCAGACACTTTTGATTTCCCGTGTCCATCCACACTATGCAAAAATCAATGCACATAAAAGGCCCTTTAAAAATTTTGGAATTATTCCTGTAAATATAAAAGAAAAAATACCTGTTTATAAAATTCAAATCTCTTCTCAAGGGTCATTACACCCAAACCTTTTGTAGTTTAAATGTTTTTTGTTTTACAAATTTTAAAAAAATGTTTTTAAAAACCCCCCTCTTTATTTTTTTTAAATAAAATCCTAACAAGAAACTCCCAAAAAATAAAGAAACCCTGCGTAAAACTTTTTTTGAAAATTTTCTTTATAGTAATCGTTTACATTAATTTTTTAACACTGATTTATCATTGCTTAGTTAAACTAAATTAATTTTAAACCACCCCGTAATGCTTGATAGTAAAGTGGCTTTGGCTATGCTTTTTCTGTATTTTTTTGTACCCTGTATGTGGTTCTTGGGGGAAAAAAATAAAAAAAAAAATAAATAAATAAATAAAAAATGCTGCCCTCCTTTTCACCTAGGTGTTAGTCAATTTGTGGGTCCATCTTGGGAGAAAAGGTTAATTTAAATGACCCAATGAAAAAAAGACAGACCACCTCAGTAAAAACCTGATTTATTTGGTTATCCGGGTTTAATAATCTGAACATATGCGATCAAGCCAAATTTACCAGCAAAAATTTTTACAAAAAGTTTCTTACAAGTAACTATTCTAAGAGATCCAATGCACGGTGCAAACAAAATGGTAGGGGGGGTTGAAACTCAGGAAGTGAGAGTAGAACTCCAAACCGAGGCATTGCCACGGGGCCCCCCTGGCTACAAAAAGAGTACCCAACTAGGTTTATATTACACCTGGGAAAAGTTTGCAAAGGCCCCCCTGGACCACAAATGCGGGTTTTTACAGATAAAATCTCTGGCCCCCCGGGCCCCCAACTCGTTGGCCAGAGTTTTACGACTCGCTTGACGCGAGCTAAAACCCCACTCATCCCATGGTTTGTTTAACTTTATTCGTCAAAAAACCAAGCAAAATGTGCTGTTTGTAATTGTTGCCACTATGGATCTACATTCAAGAAGAGCATAAATATCTGCTGTACTACAAAATAGGGACCCTGATGGATGGATGTAAATTTCCTTTGTGGGAAATTATGGGATACTTGGGTTACTAATTGAACTTATATATATATCGTAAAAAACTTATACAATATATAATTGCTTAAGATAAAGCACAATTACTTATATGTTCTGTAATTATCTCTGTAAATAGGTTACCTAATTAAAGATATATAACCAGTCTTGTCTCAGTGACGGATACAAACAGTGATTATAAAAACTTTAAATTTCTTTTACAATGATTTTGGGTCACAACCACATAGATAATGAGGTGGTAAAACCACATAGCATAATCAGGTTTCTTCTGTGCTTCCTTTATATCATTGGCCTATCAAATGTCACACAACATCTTAAATAAATATATGTTTCTTAAATAAATACATGTACGGTCTGTGTATATTTTCTGGGGTTGAGAAATCGGTTCCCCGGGTAAGGGGGTTTACAGTTTGTTTTTTGAGTCTTTGAAGGTGCATTAGGGGATGTTTTGAAGAAAAGAAAGAGGAATGAGGACTATGAAGATTCCACCTTCTTGGGTGGCTTGTTTTTTTGGGGGGAAATTGTTGTCGCCATTTTTCAGTTAACCACTTTTTTTAATCCCTTTTTTTTTGGAGCTTGTGTTTTTCTTACTTTTTTGTGTGAGTCCCAAAATATTTTTGAGTGACCCGTAATATTTTTCTTTTTGTAGTGCCAATTAATTGCTCAATTTTATAATTACAAATCAGATCTTACCCCCAAATAAAAATATTTTCTAGTGACATCTTCCATTGAACTTTGTTCACCATTACTTAATTTAGTCCCTTATTATTTTCCCCTTTTATTTTGCTTTTAAACTACCTTGTTCATATATTTACATTTGTTAAAAATAATCAGGTGCTTTTTCCCGGTGCTAAAAGTGTAATAAGTTCCTATTTTCCCTTTTAAATTTTTTCAAGCGATTATATGTCCCTGAACTTTGTTTACCTTTACTTAATTTAGTCCCTTATTATTTTCTCCCTTATTTTAGTTTTAAAAATAACTACCTCATTTCAGATTTCAAAATTTTAAAATAATCGAAGTGCTATTCTAGGGCTAAAGTGAATAATTTTCACTTTTTTTTGTCATTAAAAAAAACCAGGTGTTTAAAAACCCCCCAGGTGCTATTGATTTTATTTTAAACATTTTTTTACTATTTACCATTAGCCCTTTTTTTTTTAACTGAAAATATCTACTGAGTTCATAAACTCACTTGTTAAAATAATTAAGGTGCATTAATACTTCAATGTATAACTGAATTTCAATTCGAAATTTAACCCCCTTTTTTTTTTAAATTTTTTTCAAGTTTTGTTTAAATCAGGGTGTCTTTCTAAGTCTATTTGTAGATTCAATATAAATTTAATCTTTTTATTAGAAAATCTATTTTAAAAAAATACTCTCTCCTAGGGGTTCAGGCATAGATCCTGATGTAAAGCTTTTTAAAAAATGAATTAATGAATAAACCATAATGTAATTACTACACAAGACCAAAGAAAGACTTACTCAGTGCAAAAAAAAAATTAACCATCTTTACTACAATGTCAGATCTTGAGCAAACTTATGATGACCTCACCCATTACTAAAGTTCCCTTAATTCAATATATCAAATCCACTCACAGAAACCGGGGTTTAAAAGCTGATATTAAAGATTTCTATCCCTTTCCGGCTACATGGCCAAAAAACTTGAACAGACCAAACCAAATGTTAAACTTTGCCGGGTGCATGGAGTATTATGAAATTTAAATAAAAACCTGCAAAAAAACCCCCCAAACTTATAAACATCTACAAGTACCATAGTAAAACATTTCACTTTGTCAAAAACTGGGGAAACATGATTACTGTTTGCCACGAATAAAGACCCCTATTACTAACAGGTGTTTTCAAC